TACATATAATGTCCAAGGTTCACATGACCATAAAATGAAAACCAAAAGTTGCTGAATATCAATTAGGAAGCAATGCAGAATCTAGTCTTGACTCTGACTAGTAGATATATAATTTCCCAATGAAGAACAAGGACTAACGTACAATGTGTGACAATTTAGTTCCTCAAATGCCCCTGTAAAAGCTGCATTTAATTACTTGCATACTAATGGTTGCAGTCCTTCAAAGTGGTCTCCTCGTGCATGAATACACTCAGTGAATCAGTCTCTGCTACTCAAAACATTTCTGAAATTCCTCTTCTGGAATGTGAACCAGGATGGTTGTCCATGAGTGTTCGCAAGGCCTGATAATCTGTGGTCCTTCAGTGTCTTCAGATTAAACTGCATGGGACCAAATCTGACACACATAATGGATGGTCCAATTCCAATATCAATTTTTTAGCCAAAAACTATCTGACAGCAAGCGTATCATGAGCAAATGTACTGTCATGAATCAAGCATCAGGCAAGAGTTCAGGTCTTCTCCAACAAACAGCCTTTCCAATATTTCAAAATGAAAATGCTGGTTCACTGTTCAACCACGTTCAACAACAAACAGTGCCATTGTGATCAGAGGTGAGACAAATCAGTCTTCACTTGGGCTCAATGTGTGTGTCTTTATTGGTCTCAGTGACTTCTTCCATTGTACGCTTTGTTGTTTCATTTCTGGATCACACTGAAAGCATCATTATTCATAACCCATGATAACTATCCAAAAAGCCGTTTCCTTCCACCAACTGACAAGAGAGAACAGAACCTCACACTGCGACTACTTCCGGTTATCAGACAAAATTCGTGGCACCTTTGTTGAAACTTTCCTCATTCCCAAATCTTCAGTCAAAACCTTCCTCACAGTTTCTCTTCCTAATTTAGTTGCTCTGCTACAATTTGTACACTTAATCATCTGTCATAACAAACCAATTTCCTCACTTTTCCTACATTTTCATCTGTCCAGAGTTTTTGGACACCCAGTTCTTGCATTGTCTTTGGAATCTTCCCGACCCTCTTATGATTTTATGCCACTTAAACTAAACTTTTTCATGGCATCAGCACTGCAATCTGTTAACATCTGCTGAGATTCACTTGCACTTTTGCCTAACTTTGCATAAAATATAATACACTGCTCCAAAAAACTATCACTCCTTTATCTGCCAAGACAAAAGACACACTTGCGTAATTGCCACTGCTTCACTACTACCTTATTAGTTTAACCAACACACAACCACAGACATGATGCTGCTTGGTTATTCCTCTTGCTACCTGATGTGACATGCAGGCATTCCAGAACTTCATCACATTTCAAACAATATTTTCAATTCACCAAAAAATACATATTAATGAATAGCTTCAACAAACTTCTGATGTGTAACTACAAGGGGCAGAATATTTCTTAAGATGTTGACAGTCAATGACCTATTTAAAAAAATTCTCAGTTTACTTAAACCAAGGGTTCATTAGAGCCTGCAACCAGTCCCTATCTTGAACATATGAGATTTATGGTGAAACAAAGAAGAAGAGAAAATTAAATAGTCCACATGATGGATATAAAAAACAGTTGCCTGAAATATCTTTGTCATTAATTTGAATCAATATTATAAGGTTATAATTTTACAATTATTTTATGTAACCACTACTAAATATTTTTCACTTATAATCTGAATTCTGCAGTTCTAAGATACAAGGTCTCTAATACCAAATACATGTACTGAAATTTCTTACGTTCGCATTTTTGAGTCATTTCAAAATGATGCATACCTGCTATTTCATATGTGTTATTTTAGTGTGTTTAACAGTATCACAGTTCTACCTTACCACAAGCTAAACAATATTACCCAATCTATTGACTTTAACAATGCCACTCACATGAACCACAGAAAGTATAAACATTTTGGGAAGAAGTGTGTTACTCCAGACCGATCTTACAAGGACTATTGTACTGTAACTGGCAAACAACTTTGAATAAGCATCTGACTATGGGCCTAACTGCATGATAAATGACTATCCTGAACTGAAACTGAGAAAGATGTTTCCAGCAAGGTGTGGCCCAAGACTTCTATTATGGTCACTGAGGGTTGCCCATAATGGTCTCACACACCAAGGACTTTCCCATGATTATACTTTCAGTGAAAGTTTGAAGGTGAAAAACTCTCAGTTCATCTATACACAAACAATATTTTTTCTGTTTATAATTTACACAAATCACAAATATGGACTGAACCTAACCACTGACAACCAGGGAAGCTAATATGATATTTTTAGAAAAACCAGATGTCACACATTTAACACAACAAAATGTAAGAATTTTATGCACCAAAACTTTTAATATGCAATTAAAAAGTCACTGCTATTATGAACATTAAATTTCAAGGTACCAATAGTAGACAATTTTAGTCAGTCAATGAATACATATGGCAGTTTCATGTTGGTATACTTCATACTTGTCAAATAAGAAAATACGGAACGGTACAATGACATATGGACACTGTCAAAAATTATAACACATTACAAAGGTAATTAAAGTGGGGCAAAGTTCAAATATTTGGAAACAGTAGAAAAACCAGAATTCCATTCACAAGGAAATTAAGAGCAGACTAAATTCAGGGACTGTTTACTCAGTCTTCCTTATGCTATCTGAAAATGTAGAGTTCAAAATACACGAAACTAAAATTGTTTCAACGTGTACGTGTTGTACGTGTGTGACACCTGGTCTTGTGTTAGGGGAAGAACACATTATATTTTGTATGGCCGTTAAGATACTGCACTATATCTTCATGAGTCTGCCTCTTTGTTGTTATTTTGCATGCTGGCTTCATGTTCAGAGTATACACTTTAAAAACTACAAAATGTGGTAAATCTGCTTGAGACATCTGTCTGACATTTGTAACACAACATGTTTGACTTTAGAGGAACAGAGCTTTCAAAATAAACAATAATTCTGCTGCAGACTACATATTTGTGTGTTGCATATGCAAATTTTTGTTTCCTATTACCTTTAATTGATATCTTTTAAGCAAAAAAAATATACAATATGTCTGCACATACTGTGGGAATTTCTTTGCATAAACCCCATATAGTGGGGCTGAAATGAAAAATTAGCTAGTGCTCTAAAATGAACAGTACGGAGTATTGCAAATGAAGCTTCTACTAAAATCATTTTAAAAAATGCATTTACATGGAACATTTACCTACTAACTTTTGGTACTCGTCACAGATGATGGCAGACACTGCAATAATAAGCAACAAATAAATATGAGGGGCAGACAAAAAGTTCTCGGAATTGTAGTATAGCACTGTAATGGTAGGACATATGGTAACGCTTACCTAATCACCTTCAAAGTAGGACCCTTGCGCACGCGCACACACACACACACTTGTTACATCGATCCTGCTATTGTTGGAAGGCGGAAGGCTTCGTTTGGAATCTTCCTGAGTTCGGCCGTCACATTCGATTTGATGTCCTCCATGGTTGCGAAACTCGCCCCCTTGAGGCCCATTTCAGAGCAGGGAAGAGCCAGAAGTCACTCGGAGCGAGATCCAGAGAGTATGGTGGTTGGGTGATGATGGGAATGCTTTTCTCGGCGAGGAATTGCTGCACAACCAGCGATGTGTGGCTCAGTGCATTATCATAATGCAGAAACCACTCACCCTGTCACTTGTCGCGCCGATTCCTCCGCGTAACCTCTGCAACGAACTCATGGTGCACCACACCGTCGATGTCAAAGAATGCCATGAGCATCACTTTTTCCTTGGATCGGACGAGGCGTGATTTCTTTGGTCGGGGAGATGACGCTGTGTGCCACTCCGATGACTGGATGGACTGAGGAAGTACATGACACATCCATCAAGAAACCTGGTTTCTGGGCTCAGATATGAACTCAGGCCTCTGGCTCTTATAGACAATTGTAATACTGTTGAATACCTAAAAATGTAAAATGGCATACTACACACTGCAACTCAAAGAGTACAGACTACACGCAATTTTCCATACAAGGTATTCTACAGTTTTAATAAATCTAGTGTATACAGGGACCTACAGGTCTTTATAAACAAACATGTAATCATTAAACCATTGCACAAAATTTAATAACGAATGTTCTATACTCAGAGTTCTAAATGACAATAAAATTGTAAATAAGCAAAAGCACCTAGACACATGACAACTCAAACCCCATAAAAGCAAAATATGAAGTTTAGCAATCATAGTAGGCAATATAAAAGGCTGAGGCATTTTACATTTTATATTTCTCTGCTTTGATGTTGGGGGCCCTACAAAGCATTTTAAAGTGTGAAGTGCAAGAACAAGATTAACAGGATTCTAATTACTGTAGTCAGTTATGAAAAGATGATTCACTCAGAGGCAAGAAACTAGACCCACATCTTTCAAATAACTGATAATATCACAAATTGGAACATCCGCCCTATGTAATAATAATCAGGAGGGTTGCAGCTGTAATCCTAGCAACTCAGGACATCCAAACTTGACCACATTATAAACTGGAACATGGCTCTATACTAAAACCTCTACTAAACATGACTAAAGGACCAAATTTCAAACTCCACGATTTGCAGTATGCACTTTCCATGGAAAGATGTGCTCAAAGATGCTACTGACACTGCCCTTCCATTTGTGCAATATGAGAAGTGCAAGTGTTATCATCTAAAGAACTATGCCTAGAGAACATGACCTTTGTACATATTTGATCCTAACAAAACGAACAACACTCATTACATCTGTTTTAAGGTGTTTTTGCTTTGTCAATTATTGTGTTTTTGCTGATCGTATTTTTAGTTTTAAGAGTGGTCCTATAATTTTTATTTTTCCATATTCTTGCAATCATCTGCCAAGACCTGTATCCAGGTGGATGTGTTGAGACATATGTTGTCCAATGATGAAGACTAGCCGTATATAACAGACCCAAATAAGTAGGCACCACTTGCTTGAAGACAGAAAATAAATCAGGAATTTGTGCATGCTGATTACTTGTTACATAATCATATAAATGCTCTGAAGAACTGGATTTCATTTGGTATGTTTTTACCTGGACCTGAATGTGGAGTTAGCTGGCTCAGGTGGTAGATTTTCATCTCTTAAGGCCACTCTTAAATGTCATGGCCCTAACAATTCAATTCCTAGGGTGTAGCTGAAGAACCACTTCAAACAAAATGGTGAACTGACTGCCTCTCAAATACCATGCCTAGTTCAGCACTGCTGCAGATCCTGCAAATCATTGCAGTCCTGACTTAAAATACATGAAAGTATTTACATCATACGTAAAAATCTAGCACCACAGCAAAAAGTTCAATACATTTCAGATGTATTAGGTGAATGGGTTTTGATACATAGAAGTATTATTTATTAAATTCAATTTTAATCAAAAAAGGGGAACACTGACCACCACTTCATGATTAGACCAAACATTTTTAAACATCTTTCAACGAACACCGACGACAAAGGGAATCTGGAGTAGTTTTTTTGTTGAGAGAAGGCTATTAATGTGCCCATCAAATATGGTGAGAACTGAATTTCTAACGACTTCCAAAAATTGGGGGAAAAAACGTGGAATTACTGACCAGTACGAATACCATCTTATCAGCTTTTTGTGACGAACTAATTCTATATGCATAATGTAACAACCTTGTAATTTTAATTAACACTGGCATAAATTTAAATAGTTCAACAAGTTTATTCAATGACAAATCACACATGCCGACACATGGCATCTCAACTAGTCTTGATATAAAACAATATCTGACATCAAAAGCCCCTACCAATAACATAAGTTGATGAAAATCAATTCTTGTGGAGGTAATGCGTTCAGACTGTATAATAAGGAAAACACCAATAAATAAATTCCAAAGTATCTTGACCCCACGAACAACCATTTTGAAAGAGAACAGGAAGGCAGACGGAAAAGTGAAAGGTTGAATTTTGTGCGTCTGCGCAGTGTTGCTAAACGCTATTACGATTCTAGAATGTTCTGGCATGGATAACCACTCACAGATAACCTACCAACATAAGATGGCGATTGGATGACGAGAAAGTTCGTTTTCCCAACCCGATTGAACAGCTGTCACAGACACAGAAAATATTAGCAAACAGATTCGTATCTGTGTGTTAGACATCGCCACAACACAGCCAGCCATTTTCTCAATGTTAAACATTGGCTAATGTCCCTATGTCGTCACGAATACATTGTGCTGCCATCTATTCCATCGGCAGTAAAACCAATATAATTAACTAGTGGGAACAATCAGTATTAAATCATGGTTGGTGCCATTTACATGAGCTTAGTCGGTAACAACGCTTAGTACCATCCGACTTACTAGAAGCTTCTATCTATAACGCAGGAACATTTAATATTAAAAATCTGAAGAGGACAGTTCTGGTATATGGAACGAGGCAGTCTAGAATATTCATAAACAAAATTAACATTTTCTCTCCTCTTACTTCATTATCCAATACAATATTCCCTCCAGCTATGTTTAGTATTCCAACCAAAATTTTTACATATCTCTTGCCCAAAGTTTCTTGAAGATTTCTGTCTTCTGGGTTATTGCGCTGTGTAGTCTGGTCGATGTTAACCAACGTTTCAGAGGTCATACTGCCTCCGTCATCAGGGCGATCGCCCTGATGACGGAGGCAGTATGACCTCTGAAACGTTGGTTAACATCGACCAGACTACACAGCGCAATAACCCAGAAGACAGAAATCTTCATATTCACCGCTGTGAGAACCTCAAGTCTTCCAAAGTTTCTTCTTCATTTAATAAATATGTAATTAATTCATAAAATCATTACCACTACATGCATAATAAATGCATACAATACGTGGTAAATCTGTTTGAGGCATCTGTTTTGACATTTGTAACAGCATGCTTGACTCCAAAAGCATGGAGCTTTCAAAATAAATAATTCTGCTTCAGATTGCATATTTATTTGTTGCATATGCAAAATGTAAGTTTCCAATCACTTCTGACATCTTTTAAGCAGAGCAGAGTAGAGTTTATTTACATTCCATAGATCCTTCTTAGGACTCAACCAAAGGATGTGGAACATGTCATTTCATACAATAACATACACTTCAGAACTTTCAACACAAGTACAAGAACATATTTCACATATCAATGTACATAAATTTCAGATTCTGCAATACAAGTATGAAAAATAATTTTACAAATTAATATACATAAACCTCAGAATTTTAAATATAAATACAAAACTTGCTTTACATATACGTAGATTATGGATATAAAGCTTAAACATTTTCAGCAGAGATGAAATCATCTACAGAATAGAAGGAGTGAGTAAAGAGGTAATCTTTCAATGCAGGCTTGAATACCTTTATATCATAATTTAGACTTTTAATTGTTGGTGGAAGATTATTAAATAACTTGATACCTGTATAGTACACTCCTTTCTGATATTTAGTAAAGTTAGCATTTGGCACATAGAGATCATGTTTACGTCTTGTATTTAAATTATGTACATCTGTATTTCTTTTAAATTTATCCATGTTTTCAACCACAAATGATAGCAAGCAGAGTATAAATTCACTTGCAAGTGGAAGTATATTAAATTTAAGAAATAATTTTCTACAAGATACCCTGCTTTTGACAATGGCCATTATTCTAATTATTTTCTTTTGCATGTAAAAAACTAAATTACTGTGTGTTGAATTTCCCCAAAAGATTAATCCATATGCCACTACAGAGTAAAAGTAAGCAAAGTAAACTAGCTTTAAAGTATCTATTGTCATGAGTGGTACAACTGTTCTCATAGCAAAGCATGCAGAGCTTAATTTGGGAATAATATACTCAATGTGTTTCTTCCAATTTAAGGTATTGTCGACTTGTAAGCCAAGGAATTTGTTTGTTTCAACTTCCACAATTAATTTTTCTTCAAAACCTATATTTAACCTAGGATATGTCTTGTGCTTAGTAACATAGGTTGTATGTATATGCCTCCATCTCTCATAATTATTTTGATAAATGTGGTAAAAATGTTAATAGTATATGTACATCAACTAACAATACAACCATGTCAACTTTAATGTGTGTGTGGGGGGGGGGGGGGGGGGTGTGGCGGTTTTACTGTACAATCCCAATACTGCAAAATGAAATTAATGATTTTTTTTACTTCTGAATTTCACATTTATAGATTTAGCAGACAGAAACTATAAATTGTGCAATGTTAAATTAAGCACATACCTTGTTAATTTAGTATGAAATACATGTTACTTTTTATAAATATAGACAGCTCAACTCCCTGGTCTCATTTCAGTGAACAATGACTGGTTTCAGAAAATGTTCAAACACAAGTGTCACCTTTACTACTAAAATTAGTACAATATATATTAATTTTTATAAAGAAAATATGATGAAGGGGGAATGAGGGAGGAGGAAAAAGGGTAACTGGATTCAGTACTCAAATTTTCAGAATTTACTATTAAAAAGCAAAGGGGAAGTACCTGGAAGCTGTATGTTTCTATTACATACTATATTCTAATTTAAAAAGTGAAAATATTAAGAAAGCTTCAAGCCTTTTAGACAATTATAATTTCCCAAATGTGATCATTTTTGTTATACATATTCCAAACTTTGCTCATGTTAAATTTGGTTACCTTGACTGCTCAGATTTAAATGCCTGTTAAATGAGGGCAAAAAGCATATAATAGCATTATAATCTATATTGGACAAAGTGGTAGATTACAGAGGCTAGGCAGACAGATTCTTAGTAAGCAAGATGTGTAATGAATCATTTAGAAACTATATAAAATGCCCTTATCACTCCCATTTGAGCATCTGAAGGTAACAGCATTATAAAAGATGGGATGCAATCTGATGGAATAATGTTCTAACCTAATTTCATGCAAACTGGTCAACAGATCAAAGCACAGATCAGAGCACAGTGACAGGAAATTCTGGCAGCCCTTCTCCCCACAACCAAATGAGTGGACCAACTGTAACACATGAGTGAGTGCATAAGGTACTTCAAACCCCCAGTCTTAAACTCCAGTGTCTAGTACTATTATCAAGGAGGCCTGAATTTGCATTCACAAACTGACCTCCAAAGGCTGGAACATAAAGTATCAATGGATTTCTAGCTATTGCAGCCTCCCTGGCAACGAAACTTCCGATGGCTTAGGGGGGGAACCTGCAACTTGGACCTACCAGTTACACCAACCCACGTGTTAAAAGCTAAAAAATTAGATTAAGCTGGCCATCGCCGAGAAAGGGATTAGGAAACCTGTATGAATGGGAAGTATCGCATCTCCTTGAGAAAAACATTCCACCACTCCTCCCAAGAGAGATATTTGTGGCTAATTTTAGAGCCTTGACTGGTCATGATTTACCTACAGAAGCACTGTCATATAATCGAAATTTCGAATACAGACATGGCCATCTGCAAAGAAAGCACCATAAACACTTCATTTGGCAACGTGGAGGCTTGGGGGAAAGAAAAGACTCGCTAAACTACATAAAACTTGCCACACGATACTAGTCTACTCGTGAATTTTTGGCCGAAAGCCGACTTTGAACTGCTGTCGGATAAAAATAAAAAAAAACATTCACCGTACTACGTAACCAGGGAATGTAGATGTAACTTATGCAATATAGTTGTTGTGATTACCTTATTCTGCTATTTGTAGAATGTAACAATCCTGGAATTATCAAGGAACATCGTTGTAACTCAAATAGTTCAATAAGATTATTCCATGACAAATCACACATTCCGAAACGTTGTATTTCCACGTATTTTATACAGTAATTTCGGCATCAAAACTACCTACCTACAATATTAGTCGAAGAAGATAAATTCTTGCCGACTTTATACGTACAAACTACACATTTATAACAGTAAATACACCAAGTAACACCAATAAATAACGTACAAATCTTCCTACACCAAGTACAGCCATTTTGTAACGGATTACCAAACTACTTACGACTACGAACAACGTACAAGAGTACGCATTTGCGCAATGGTGCTATGTGCAATCATGATGTACCAGATTCTAGAACATTTAAGTCATAGATAATCAATCAGAGATAGCCTACCAACAGAAAACGATGACGATTGAACGCCAGGGGCCCAAACTACTAAAGACACAGTTAATACCAATATACTGCGGGTCAGAGATTATTTTATTTAACATCGATTCTCATTTGTCGATATTCATTTATGTGCCTTCTTACCTTCCATTTAGCATGAATTTACGTTTTTACAGAAACTTTTCTTGTTTTGAAACATTTATATTGTTTCAAAATACATGATCGTCTAATTTTAATTTTGACAGGCACAAAAACTTAAAATTTCCCACAATGACATAATTATCAATGTGATATTGTGGCGCGCCGTAGGAATGACTGTGAATATTGTCCCATAAAGGTTCGCGAAGTCAGGAGTTATTGAGACAAAGCATATTTATCAAAGGACAAGCAACCATTACGCCAATTGTGCAAGTGACTTCAATAGAATGGTTAGAACAAAGGCTGATTCCAGTTTTGTTAAAGGTAGCATATATTCTTGGTCGGTTGATTCATATTCCCGTCAGGCAGAATCATATAACCATTACAAACGTGAAATTCTATTTTTATTTTCAGCTGCTGGTGCAAAAGCACCCCGTAAGATAAGTTTTTCAGCGCACAGCTGTGGAGGTGCAAGTTCTTCTGATTGTGGCAAAGGTGAGTTTGTTTTTACAGTTAGGTTAATTAATGCCATTGTGGATATATTATTAACATCATTTGACATGTTGACAGTGAAGCAGAATATAGGAGGGAACCCATATTTCCCTCATGAAACACCTTCTTGGCAGAAAGAGATAACAAGCTTTTTTAAATCAGCTGCAGTGGATTCCATGAAGAAAACTCAAATCCCATCAAATGAGGAAAGCAGTCAAGAAATCACTATGGTATTGTAATAACTGTTTTAAGCATTCACAGTGACTCACTATTAATGTTGGCCCTGCTTTTGGATGTTTGCTATGTAACTGGTGTTTGAGAGGAACATACAGCCTATATAAGAATTAACGTTACAAGCCATGGTGATGGAAATGTTCCTCTGAAATGTCAGAATTGTACTGTTTGTATTTTTAATAAGAAATGAAACAATTCACAATAACTGCATGCTTTTTAAATGGTTTTCTTTCTTCCCCATTTCAGGAAGCTGGGGATTCATCTGCAAAGGATGCTTCTCAACCATAGCATTAAGGCTGTTAAATATGAATGTCACTGTGTTTAACTTTCATCTTAAAGATATGTGCATGTTAACTCTTTTGTGCAATTAACAAATGAGAACCTCTACTTAAAATAGATTCTTGTGTTGTCTTGCGGTATGTTTATTAAGTGCAGGGCTGGCCAGGATGAGCTTTGGACCTTCACACATTTTGTATTGGGTCTATACAGGAAAAGAAAAAACAGTGACAGTTTATGAACAAAGGAAGATGTCTAGGAAGGAGAAATGAAAAACTAATGACAGGTAAATTAGAACAATTGTTTGGTATAATTGCTCATATAGGAAATCTTCCACGTGTTCCTTTCTAAGGAAAACAAAATGTTCTAAAGTTGCTTTAAGGTTTAAAGTCTGGTTTGCTGAACCCTGCTGATATTTTAACCATGTCTCAATTTTAGAATGTCTATTTTATGTATAATTGATGTTTCGGAATAACCTTTGTAATGTTATATATTGAAATACAAGTTTTTTTTTAGCATAGTCATAATTAAAACTTTCTTATACACGAGCAGCAAAATTTGCTAAACCTTCTCATATGGGGATGTAACCTTTATCAACTATGCCTTGTGGTCAGCAGCTGACTGTGCATCACAGTAGCATACCCCTAAACCATGGATTTGTAGTATAGCTGGCATCCCCATAATATAGGGGTTTCAATCCCCTAATCCTGTATGATACAGGTTAAATCCTTATACTACAGGGATGCCTGCTAGATGTTAAGTCTGGAGAAGTCTAATGAAAGCAGTATTCTATTCCAACACATAGCCAGGTGGACAGTGATTAAACCATTATGCACAGCTGAAAGGAATTAAATAATTGACTGAGAGCTTCACACAATATTCATCTGAAATATATAAAATCATGCATACAAACAAAACTGTTTACACTTTGAAAAACACTTAGTGCCAAATGCGTTTCAACCTCATGCAGTCATCAAAAGCATTAATTGATTAGTCTATTAAATCATACAATTCATAAGATGGTTGTTTGTTTTAAAGCAGTGCATTATATATTTCAGATAAATATTCAACACTGCACAGTATGCAAGGTTTTAAGCTTAACACAAATCTATCACACCATTTGATGGTGAAGGAGCTGTACAAAACTTACCAAACCTAGTGTCTCAACATTACTTTTATGAAACATTTTTGAAAATAATACACTGATAACATTAACAATGCATTCTTGTATACAACATTAATTTATATTTTAACAGAACTTAAATCTGAACTTGCAGTAGGCACTTGACACAAAACATCGTTGCAGACAAAAACAAACTCTTTTGTTACTTACTCTTAGGCAACAACTGAGAAAGGAATGAAATGTCAGCATAAAAATACTAATTCAGTGCTGACAACATAACAGCAGTGAACCAGTTTTATGGAATGTGAGTATGATACTGCCATGCTGGTACATGTATTAAGCAAGACCCTACATTCTGTGTACTTTTTTGAGACCAGTGCTATCCTAACAACAATGTGACCTTGGTTGGTCTATTCTATGGCAGTAACTGTGAATTTTCCTACAACAGTAACAATGGCATGATTTGGCCTTGCAATCTTACCAAAAAAAAATTAGCTGGAAAATGCATTTAGAATTTGACTGATGTTCTAACCTACCATGCAGCCCAATCTCTTGATCATGCAATGATCTGCATCCCTATCTGTAGCCACCATAATGAAACTGAATGGAAACTGTTTAGAAGTCCTCTACTCCCACTTCTGGCAAAGAACGCAAATAAGAACAGCCTAACACATGTAAGTTAAACAATGGCAATATTCAGATGGACACTAACATCTAGCACATTCTAGTACACTTACTATGATACAGGATATTGAGGTATTGCTAGTAAATGATATTGATCCCTATGGACTAGAGGAAAATAACAGAAAGTCTGGCTACAAGTTGCCAGGATTCAGCCTACGCTGGAGGTCCATGGCTACGTCATCCACAGATATGAGCTTCTCTATCGGAATACACGACAACTCACCCCCAACATTTGGGGGTGGCATCCATTTCTCCTTAGCCTTGGTCTCTGCCTCTTTGGCAGAAGCCTCTCGGGCTCTGCGTTCCTTCAGTTTGAGCGAAAATATAGCCACACTGCGGGCTCGTTTCATCAGACTCTGTTTCACCCTCGTCTTCTTGGCAGCAGCTGCTTCAGCTGCCAGTTCATCTCCTTTGGGAGTTATGGTAGGGGTTGTAGCAGGTGGTGCTGTAGCTGCACCAGGGGTTGAATCATCACCTTCCTGGCTAGATACAGTACGGCTACTATCAGATGAAGCCTCCTTTTCAGGAGAAAAACGAAATTTAGAACGAGTGTGAGCTGCAACCCAGGGAGGGGCAGAACGCAAGAGATCTGAATCCGAGGATGCTGCAAGGTCTTTATGTGCAATACAGTCGGTGCTACGCCGCAAGTCACCCCCAGAAGCACTCCCCATCTCTGGTTCACTTCCCTTACGGGCAGGATCTAGCCCAAGTCTTCGTGTCCAATCCACCCCATGTGGTCCAATTGTCAGATGGTAGCCCAATGTCTCACCCTCAGGGCCCAACCAGTCTCGTGACTTTTTTGGGAGACTCCTTGCTATACCTGGAGAGAGGTGTTTGCTCTCCACCGGTGAAGAGCGTATAGTGGGTAGAGTGGGCTCTTCCATAGGGGGTGCTGCATTTTCAACAACTGGTGTTGGAAGGTTTTCCTCAGCTATGGGTGTATTATTTCCTGGCGTGTGATTTGCTTCCTCTCCACCAGTATCAGTACTTACTTCATTCGCTGGAGAAACAACAAATCTACAACCAAACACACAGATCTAAGTGACATTCTAGGGTTTGAAAGCAGTACCATCTCACCACATTTTGAGAGGACTGAAACCCATACTTAACTGGGGAGTCAGTCATTTTCAAATATGAAAATTCATCATTCTCATTTGAAAGATGCTTGAGAGAGGAGAGTGGGATGCACTGGATTTGCTATGAAGTTGTGAGGCTCTGGACTCAAGGTGCTTAATTAAAAGTATTAAGCAAAGGGAGACACAAAATTCTAAAAAAATATTTTTTTTTTAAAATTTTAGGGAAATAAATTACATGTCAGTCTGAGGCATACCATAATAATAATAATAATAATATTAAATTAAATTTTAGGGAAATAAATTACATGACAGTCTGAGGCATACTTGGGAGGACAATACTATAAATGAATCTTGTGTATTAGGCAAGGATGAGGATTTTGTATAAACTGGTAAATCCAACTACAGATTTACTGACCGTCCTATAACCAGTCCTGGTGGTGGAATTGTGACATCAGGTGCTGGTGAAGCAGTTGTGGAGGAAAGGCGACGACACGCTTCTCGTCGAGCAAACTCTACTTTGGCCATTTCTGTAGCAACCCACTCAGGAAGGTCGGGGATTGCGCACATTATTATGAACCGCAGTGACAACATTATGTGCTGTAAGAAAAGCAAATGATGCATTTCAGAGACACTGTGTTCTTTCAACATGATTTGGCAGGTTTCGGGATCTCAACGTTCCTCATGTGCTGTGAAATATGTACTTAATGTCTCTCTGGGGAACAATGGAGGGATGGCATTTCTACTGTGGAATGAAATGTTAGTCTCACTGAGCTCTGACTGAACAGATTATGAAATGTTATACAGGAACCTCCAAATTTCAGAGAGTGTTTATAATCGTCTTTCTCAATTGGTTTCAATCAGAACTATGCAACACAACCTGACATTACAGCCTGATCCACATCAGAGTACATTACTAAATATTTAATTATGTAATTAAAGGTAGTTGTTATAATTAATTTGTAGTAAGTTCATAACATATAACTTACAAATTTAGAATGCTTCTTAATTCATCCCCCACAATAACAACAAAGGGCTACATAAAATATTTTCTGATATCTAGGAGGCTGTGCAACTGAAATTTGAAGCCACATAATTCAGAGGCCCATTTTTTTATGGCACTGCTTGGTAGTTGCCTTGAGGGACTCTATTAGAGCTCATTTCTTCAATGGCAAACTTGTAATTTATGAAGTTGTGTCACACAAAACCTGTCAGAAAGTAGCATCTCTACATAAAAATCTGTCAAATAATATTGCTTTAGTTCTTTTATTTTGTCTGAAAAATTCACATCATCATCTTTTCCTTTCTTTCTTGAAAGTAACAGTGAATGTTGGTGTTTTGGGTTGAAATCTCATGTGGACTTGTAAGTAGATACAAACACTTCAGAAGAACACATTGCCTCCCTCTTCAGGGCAGAAGAACTCTTGGTATCCACCTATTATTCCATATAATTACTACCCAGAAGACCAACAATGACAATGACCACTGTGATGACATCAAAATAACCACACTGTGTATATACAAATGTTTCAGCAAACCAAACTTCAGATGGGGCTGAAACTAGCATTCATCATTATGAGAGCATCCCTTATAAAACTTGTATCCAAGGCACAATCTCCACTGGTATTTCTGATATGAGAGTGACCTTTAGTGGGACTGTTTTCCAAACTAGGTTCAAGGTGCTGTGGCTGAAAGAGAATGCTAAAATACCAGTTCAACAAAATCCTAAAATATGGTGCACATGAAACTTTCACACCTTTCCAGACCCAAGCAATCTGACACAAGGCAATATTTAAGCAGCCATGGTTTCCTGAATGAGATAACAACAAGCACTGAAGTTATGTTTTGTTATTACAGTCTTCTATTTCTTCTGCTCCATCCTCTGGTATATACTTATGGCAGCATAAATTAACATCTAAAGACTGTTAAAATATAAAGAGATGTGCACAGGATTGAAACACCTGAGTGATGGATGCCTTGGCACACAACTGTGTACTAAAAATAATGTCAAACTCTCTTTACAGACTTCGCTATCCCAACAGGTTTGGCATCACACTTATAACACATAGAGCAACACGTGCAGCAGAGGACCCACATGAAATTCGACCAGTGAAGTAAATGTAGCATGCCTTACCTCCAGGGCAACAATTAGGAGAATCGTTTGTGTTGTGGACATTTCAGGAAACATGCGATGCACCTGGCCAGAGAGACCAATCAGAGCACAGTTCACCAAGATGGCAATCATGCACATCACCTCCATTGCATTCTGCAACAAATCATCATTCAATTTATATTATTTTGGTGCAGTCATATCAGTCTGGTGATACAAGGATGGCAATATCTCTCATCACCCTTATGATAAAGGCAGCAAGGACTTCTGAAACACTTGTAAACTTTTACCATACTACACTGAACTATAACTCAGAAGACAGCCATCTTAATTCACAATTGTGCCCATCACCTAACCTCAGTTTCCTGCCTTCTGATGGTTGTGTGAAGGATATTTACATATTCTTTACAGCTTAGTGGAATACCTGGGTTCAGTCCTCTGGTCTGCTTCTAGTAACATGACAAGTTACCTACGATATTACTCTGACTTGCACATTTAGTGAGATGGTTTAAACATGACTCAAAGTAAGACTTAAACATAATCACATTTCTTCCAAACTTCTCAAACAGATTTAATACACACAAAATCATGCTCTTGAAATATTTTCTTAAATACTTGCTTAATTTTAATTTAGTGTATATGTTACCGGCAAACTATGAAATCCAGCAATGTATAGAATACCTCCAGTCAATAGCCAAAATATGAAATTCAGGCATTCTATGATTTGCCTAAAGCATCTGAGGCATTTTATAAAATTCCTAGGTATTCTATAGAATACCTAGGAATTTTATAAAATGCCTCAGATGCTTTAGGCAAAGTATATAACAAAGAAGCTTCTATAATATGATTTATACAGTTTTATTTTATCTTTTATATTTGCAAAAATTTAATATAAAACAATTCTTTTAATTCTCAAAACTTTTTGTTATGTTCAGATTCAGTAGCTTGGTGTTTTCACGACTATCTTGCACAACTTCCATCTTGACAACTTACCCAATCAACTTTGATTAATTTTAATTTACAAAACCAAACAATATTAACATTATGATTTATTTCACACCTTGCCTACGACTTTAGGCATTCTATACATTGCCGGATTGCATACATTGCTGGTAACATATATAATTCAGACAAACACAGAAGTGTCCAGTTCAACATGAAAACATGAAAGTTTTATCGGCTTACCTGCCATGTGCCAATGTTTGGAACTCTCTGACCAAAGGGCCGCTGAAAGGTGAAGCACAGCTTAAAGGCGTCACTGCGAATCTCAATAAGGTTGTTGATAACAGCACAAAAAGCTGCCATGGGGAAAGCAGATGAGAAAAGAACTACGTATCCCAGCTGAATAAACATTTCCAGGTGATCTGCAAATGTTCCATCATACTGCAACATGGGAAAGTGACAGCATTCATACTATTTCCCCTGCTGTTGCATGTGAATGCACCAATCAGTGAAGACACCATACTTTCTCAGAAAATTACAGAACAAGGAGCTTCACAATTTGTTGTTAGGATGAGTGAATCAAGGAGATATAATGGGTTGGACATGTGACAAAGAACACTAAAAATGCATTTACAATTTTGAGTAGGAGACTGAAATGGCTGAAGACCATGTTACATAATGCTGGTTATTGGAGCTCACCTTGAACAGTGAACTTTCAAGTTCTGCTTGACTGACGCTCCGGTTTGTTCCTGTGGTTTTTCTTGTGGGGCTCGCCTCTCTTTGATTGCCTGTCAGTTCTTTCTTTGCTTCAGAAGGGCTCAGAGCCCCAAACAAGTCAAAACTCATTTTAGCCAGTCGCAGCTGCTCCAGCACATATGGTAGGGCTGACTCCTTAAGGTTTCCAATCACCTGTCTTGCAATCAGCAGAGCAGCCAGTTGCTGGAAAACAGACATGGCAAATCAACTGTTGGAAACATGATTAACATTTTGTTTTTGTGTTGTACAGTTTGATGAAATTATAGTCTTCAATGCAATCGTCTGTACCATCTGATGATGATCAGAGCACACAATGTCTTATACCTATCTTTCACCATCCTCACTCCATGATGTTACAGGCCATCTGCTGTGGTGTCTTCTCATTCATGACTGATTCCAAATCTGTGCTGTAACTGACACCTCATACTGACACTTTACCATATTCCACCAGAAGTACAATATTCCCATCATAAAGTTTCCTAATTGCTAGCAAAATCTGATGTTCGTCTGCACTACTTGAGGTGACCCATTTCCCCATTTTGACACCTTCAGTGCACTGCCCTCTCTTATCTTGCTACCTGGTCTAATGGCAACTGAACAATTCTGCCAACTGTGTTGACATAATACACAGGCAGGCTCCAGTCCACCTGCCAGAACATCACTGTACTAAATTATATTTCAAAACATTTTAAAGCTACCACTTATGGTGTCAACATGGGAGTGTTGTACAACCAGCAGCTGTTCTGCTGGGCAAAATAGTTTCCTGCTTATACAAAAACTTAGTGCATGACATTAAATATAGAAGTTTTAACTGAAACACTTTTTGTTATAGTAACTATTTAATGAAACACTAACAAATAATTTGTAACCTGAGCAGTGTGACAGACTGGTTTTGTGAAAGTGCAATAACTGGATGAAAAGACTAATGATGTGACCAAAATAACAGAACACATTTGCTTAAATGCGTCTCCATATGCAGAAAGTTAGATTTAATGCACACAGAAACAAATTAATCAAGAAAATAGTTACGTATTATTCTCTCAGAAATAATAATCCTTAAATTCAGTGATGCACACATATAGGTAAACATACTGTGGGCTTACCTCCTTCAGTTTCTCCATGTCTTGTAAATAAAAAGCAATGTAGAATAGTGACAGGAAGGAATTCACAAACTGGAACTAAAACAGAGATACAAATTGAGTAACTGGTATGTGCAAAGTCTGTCTTACACTCAGCATGCGGCGTGCACAGAAATGCTGTTCTACAAGTTACGACATCATGCACAGCTCAACGGTTAACCTAAACTCTGCCATGGTTTTGACCACTTCAAAATGACTGAATGCCCTGCATTTGAATGGCATGGCTAGAGAAAGAGTGATATAATATATAAAACACTGTAACAGTAAAAGTATCATATTGTGAAGCTTTATATAGTTCTGGACAGACATGTAACATAGTTCAAGATGTCCTCTGAATTACAATTTGTAAAGCACATATTTTATCAGTATCTAGCCCAATACAATTGGGAGTGAACACCATCTTTCCTCAGAATATATTCTACAACTCTCCAAACAAAATATATACAGTATTCCCTTTTCTTTTGTTTCCAGGACCAAACATTTTTCTGCACTACACTTACAAAATATTATTTCATGCAATTTTATAAAATATATGAAAGTTATTTAAAGAGTCCCAACAATTATAAATATTACTAATCTCCCAAAAATAAAATTAGCATACAGAAAGTAAACAAAGATCTTAGATGCATAACAATATAGCCACAATAAGTCCCTTCAAAACTGTATCTTTAAATTACTTCAAGTACATACATAGTCACTTGTCAAAGAAAATAAATGAAGACACTCAATTACAACTCTACCACTCATTATAAATGCACTCAGTCACCTCAGATGTTTATTTACAACATAAAAATATGTCTAATAGTGTTCAAGAGAATATCATCTTGCAAAGCACTCTGCTACGTACAGAAAATTGCTGCTCTCCCCATCACTATGATATTGAGAAATCTGAAGTAACTTCTCCCTCCTTTAAATGCATTTTTTTTACTTCTTTCTATTTAAGTTAATTAAATACTTTTTTGTTTGTATTGATACGTAACATAAACTACAAGCAGCATTCCCACTAGCTGCTCCAACAGCCATAACATGCCACACAACAGAGTTACAATGTACAGGCAAGCAAGCGAGCTGTCTGAATACAAACCAATGCTACTTTGATGATTAGATGATTTTCATACTTGGTCTCAAGCCTGTAGTTTTCTGGTTGAAAAGAAGAAAGAACCCTTTGTAGTGCACTTGAGAGATAGAATAAAACACAGTGAGCTCTCTGTAATGTCCCTCAAATGGCAACAAAGAGAGGCTAGCTGTGGGATGCTGACAGTGTCAAGCCTCACTGACCAGTGGATGTGTGTGTATTGTCATTCTAAAGTCTTTTGACAATGGTGCACTAGCACAATTATGATTCTTTAATGGGACATTATCCATTGTGTGTATCTGAAAAATTAAAATTCTAAAATGTACTGTTTCGGAGAAAAGAGCCAGCCTCTAAAACACAATAAATCTCAGAATTTCAATTTTTTAAACACAGTGGAAACTCGATATAACATGGATGTTAGGAGAAAACTTCAGTACCTATATTACAAGTGAAACTTCACTTTCTTCCTGAAGAAAAGTGTTCACATCGGGTGAGAAAGATGATGTCCAAAACACATCACCACATAATTAGGAATTACTAGTGAGCTGCTAGAAACATCTAATGTTACCCTACTGCTCCCAACTCCCTTGTCTGCATTCCAATTTACACCCCCATTACTTGTTATAAACTCACCCTTATCATTGAGCCAGCATGCCACTTTGTAATAGGCCTCATCCAATACAGTGATGACAACTGCAAGCAGGATCTTGGGCAAATAACTGAGGCAGAAGAAATATCCCTGCTCTGTGATTCGCTGGTCCCACCACTCCTGCCAATGGAAATGAATTTTAAAATCTACAAAATGCTCTCAACCACTGTTCACATCCCTTCACCAGTACAGCATTACAAAACAGAATATTTCTTTATATACATCTTCTTGAGTATATTCTTCCTCTAGATGAATATTTTGGAGGGTCAAAAGGCAGTAATCCTACTACACCCACATTTACTGAACAGCATAAATAAAACTAGAATGAACACATGGTAATTTCAGTAACATTTACTAAATCCTTGAGAAAAAACAGTTCCCTAGGTGTTTAAACAAGTAACCGACACAAAGTGTGGCAGCTATTGAATCACATGTGTTCAGGAGGTTGTCTTCAAACACCCACACAGTTGAACAGAAATGCACTTTGACAATATTTACTTGTTACCTACTTTGCCTCCGTTTGGAACCATTTTGAGACTTTTGAGTTATTACATATATTCTTATTTAAGCAAAGAAATGTTATTAATAAAACAGAGATCACACTCCAAGATGTTCTGCAAGGATTGCAAGACATGCATCTTGCATTTGTATTATAGTTTACATGTGGCCTATGTATGCATGTTACATTACTCTTGATGATGAATACAAGAAACAGTAAGAAGGAAAATAAAACAAGATTTGCACACAAAAAAGAATAAGAAGATACTTCAAAGATAATGTAAAATAACAAGAATGTACTGCTGACATATGGTGTCCTGGACTTAGAACAACTCAATGAGTTCATCCAATAAACTGGACATTTTACAAAGTGATGGTAATATATAACAGTATCACAAGAATAATGACATTAAATATTAATATGACCAGTCATACAATTACAAAGAAAAACTGAAAAGTTCAAGATGGAACTGCACCCAGTGCAATCTTAGTAACAACTCAATCCAATGACAACATCCACGGACCTGCAGTTGAAGTGTGAAGATCATTATGATAAACACCAACAGGAGACACAGCAAGATGATGGGGACACTGACCAGGTAGCGGAATACATTCCTTTTCCACGCAGGGTATCTTGGTTCCAACTGGCCAGTCACTGGACTTACCTCTAGCGTGCCCTGCAATCAGGAATGCATAATTAAACTGTTATACTCAAGAAACAAATAACACAAACTAAACTTTAAGCAATACAACCTATACTAGGATGATGCCAATACCACAGCAGATATATAATTCCTATTCTGTCAACAAGAGGCTTCATATTGTTTGTTACTAGACGAGTTGTGTTCATACTTACTGTGAACAATGGACGAGGCTCTACCAGCAGTTCATCCCGCTGGTCCAGTGTCCCCCAACGATAAGCCAACTCTGCGCTATATCTCTTCCAAGCCTCCACATATACACTGGCCCACAGCACATTAAAAAATGAGAAGAGGACAAAGCCCACATCTTCTGTTGCCTGGTCTCTGCCACAGAAACCAATCTGCACACAAAATACATTCAAGAATAAAATGTTATTTGAACACAAATGTATTGTTACAGCTACCAGTGAAACACTCTAAATTCGCACAACTGCAAACAAGTATTACTAGCTACAAGTAAAATATTTTACAAACAGTAAAATATAGTGCATAGAATTAAACTTCAATCTGCTGATCTGCCAAACACAAACTTTGCAACATGTTTTATCCCTTTTTTATGATACTCAAGTTGCAAATCAAAATTAACAACTGCAAAGAAATGAATAATGTAATTAAACTAGAGATATACACTTACAAATGGAATAGGAAATACAAAGTTTTGGAACACTGTCACATGGAAGGCAAAGGAGGAAATGTGAAGGTAATATTAAACTAAAATATTTTATCATTAGGAACACATTGTGAAGCAGCTCAGGGCCAAGACCACTGGCAAGCTATGATATTCTGTTGCAAATCAACAAAAGAAGTCAACAGCTGCATCAATCACATACACTAAACACAAACTGTACACAAGTTATATCTCACATGTTCCAACTTTACAAAACAGAGTGCAAAAACATTTTACATGTCACATCTTAAATCCTGCAGCTCTTATAAGAGCCCAGAGATTTTATATTTGAAATATTTATTTTTATAATAGCATCACTTCATACTGATGATGCTGAACCTGTTAGTTCTATAAGAAGATAGATACTTAGTCAAGAAAAATAATTATATGAGACTCTGAATGACTTCGTACACAATTCTGACTGGAAACAAAACTTAAAATCTATTCAATCACAACCTAATTCCACTAAACAAGACTTTGTTGAGAAGCTAATAGTCAGTCAGTCAGTCAGTCAAGAAATTCCCTGCCATCTATGGAACTCATTACCATGATCGCAAGAGCTTGATTCTGGTCACTGTACTGGAACCAGATAAATCCATTCCTCATCCTCACACAGTTTCTTTAAAATCTGTTTTTAATACAGACAATACAATAGTAATTCTGTACACAATTCTCATCTCCCCCACATGTGCTACATACCCTGCCAATTTTATTAACCTTGATCTGATAATTCATGTCAAGTCACATTATGAAATTCCTCACAGTATAATTTTCTCCGTCATCTTGTCACTCCTTCTGTCATGTCAAAATATTCTTCTCAGTACCCTGTTCTCAAACATTCCCAACTTTGTTCTTCTGTTAGAATGAAAGACCAAGTTTTAATTACAAAATTTTACTCACCCATAGCGTGGAATAAGCTTACTCATCACCAGTCTTCATCAACTCACATATGGTGAGTGGGTGAGCCATGACCAACAAAATAAATACTCTGCGAATGCACACAGCAATATGGAACCAGACAAATTCTAAATAGATGCAGCAGGCATGAACCCGACGAATATCTGATATGCTGTCCTACTCTACATCTACATTGCTAAGTGCTATTTTCCAACAGAACTATGAAACACAGAACTAATGTCACTGACAGCAAAGCTACATTTTGGGCAGCAGAGGTTAGGATTATAAAAGTTTAGTACATATAACAGAATACATACACTTTCTCTCAATAAACAGGAGTCGGGGTAGCTCAGTCAGTACAGTGAGTAGCTATGGACTGGATGACCGGGGTTCGATCCCTGGCGAGGGGGTAGAGGATTTTACCTCTAGCCTCTGTGTCCAGACCAGGTCTGGGGCCCACCCAGTCTCCTATACATATATAAGTACCGGGGTCCTTCCTCGGGGGGAAAGCGTGGCTGGGGTGTGACGCTGACCACTCCCCCCTATTTAGTGCCAAGGTTAAGAATGAGTAAGAGCTATATCACCTCTCCCCCTCAAGCACCTACATGGCGTATTGTGGGACAGATTTACTTTACTTTACTCAACAAACAATATGTGATGCTGTGTGAGACTTCTGGTTCTCATAGCAACAAATATGAATATGACCATGAGTCTGGTACACATCTACAGACTGTACAGTGCATCATCAAAGAAGACATGTTCAACATGTGATGTTTCTTGCTACTGCTGACACTTCTAAGTATCTTGTACTAAAAGGCTGACATTTTATAATTCTTTTGCATGTGATATGAGAGCTTTTTCTTTCAACAACAATTTCCAAGTGTTATATTTGTAAAATTTTTAATTCAGCCAATATTTAATTTTTTTATGACTGAAGAATGTCTGCTGTCTACATATGAGCTTATAACCATGTTATGGGACATGCAATTAAATAAATAATATTTTGAAGGAGAGAAACTATTAACTAAAGATATATGACAGCACACTGAAAGCAATGCAACAGCTTCATGGCATGCACTGAGAAAGTCAGTCGCTTACCCAGAAAACAAAGCCAACCACAGCTGGCACAATGAGAGCTGTGGTGTAGTGGCCGAGCCAGGCAAAATACATGGTTATCTTCACCCCAAAGTAATCACAGATTGCATCTACAATCACATGAGAGAAGAGTTACTACAACACACCACACGCGGCCCACAATAAAGTTTCGTACCTTGAGACTACTCCCATATCAAGTGCACTGGAGAAAAAGAAACAGGTGATAATTCAACATCCACCAAACCATTCAGGTGCTAGTAGAAGATAATAGAGAGGAAAAAAGCCAAACAATCCCAGAAAGCAATAGATCAAATTAAAAAATTCCTAAATGACAAGATACAATAACAAATCAATGAAATGGATGAGCCTGAGGATTTCATGATCAATGGCACTGGCAATGTAAGTGAGAGTATTGATAATGATTATGATAGTAGCATAAGCAGTGACAAGGAATGATACATACATGTTCATGAATTGCTGATTGATGACACAATTTAAATCAAACCACACACTGCTAACAAATAACTAATAGCTTTGAAACTGTATCTGATATTACTGTGGGCAAAAATACAGTCATTTCCTTCCGTCTCTATGTTTTGTGTATTACACGCACCATATTTTAAGAAAAATTAATTTTGAAGGAAAAAAGTGTTATACATGAGTAATACAGGGGCATATTTTCTGGAGACATCTTATCTGAGAAAGTAATATAAATCACTTAACAAATTCCTTACACTATCAGTAACTTCCTACAGTACACAACTGTGTTACAAGAGACGCATTCATTTAATAAACAACGTACTTTACTGTGAGCCAGATTATAACATATGAACATGTACCAAGTGTTCTAAGACTAATAAACTAGGAGGAATAGCATGCAGCAAGGGTAACATTAATGAAAATGTTAGTGTAAGTCACACCTCATGCACATACTACAGTACTAATTTAATGTTTCATGTTAACTGCAAGTTTAGTGATTCAATTACTTATATACAAGGACAGAACAATTTACCTAGAGGCTGTTTGTGTAGGAAAGCACGCACCCAACTCTTCTGTAATTTCTTGAGTGCAGGGAGATCATGTAGAGGGAACACTTGCGATATCACACCAGCTGACACACATTTTGGTACTGCACACAACAGAAGAGACATATCACTTCTGTTCAACTTTTTCAGCACCTCAAGTCCAGCAGTTTAATAGCTGTTCACCTACTTAATTAAATGTTGTCAACTACAAAGGTTACAAAGTATCGATTGAATGAAAGATAACCGCAAATAATATGGAAATAACCACAGCCTACTTTAAGGTACCATCTCTGCATATGCCTGAAAGAAGTGTTTAAACACGCACCAGTGTTTGATACTTTCACCTAGCCAACAGGAAATTGACAATTTTCAGGTAGAAGAAATATTAACATTGGCCCAAAATTTTAAGATGCAGTTCTCACCTTCAAAAATTATCTCCATTTTCAGCCCTGAAGATAGAAATAGTATGTTTCTCTGAAACACTGGCATCTGCCTGAAAATCTACACAGCATCAACACCAGATAAACAACTAACATCTTTAAATATTTGCCTGCAGTTACATATATTGCTCATATTAATGTTTTAACATTGTGTTAATAACAAGAAAAGTATTTTGTTCCTTATTTTCACTAAACGTTTTACTGCAAGCCTGGCCTAACATACCTATTGCCTGACCCTCAATAAGCTTCAGGCCTGCCACTTGGTCCTCAGGACCAGCTCGGAGAGTATGAAGCAGATGCAGAACAAGCCACTGACGCTCCTGGGTTGTGAAGAACTCACGTTCATTGTCTGTCCCTTCAAAGTAGGAAACCTCCTGCTGCACAAATTCCTTCAGTCCACCACCATACTCTGAACGCAATGTCTTTGGGAGATGCACCTCCTCAGCAGCCTTTAGCAGGCTGCAAGTTACAAGATGGCATGACAAATCCCCCTGATGCTAGCCTATGCCCTACAGTCTCAACAAGAATGAGACAGCTGAAATATATTTGCCACTTCAGAAAATAAACTTGTACCTATTACTGCACTATGATTCATACAGATTTCTTCTTTTTACTTAATGGTATCTCATTTTCCTCCATCACTTCCAGGGGTGCTCTATAGAGCAATGTCCCTTTCATCAGTATTCCAGGATTTGTTTTGGTATTCTATCTTCTGTTGAATGAGCCAGACAGATTGATACAGAGAGGACTTAAAATTCAAAGTTAAGTGTTAAGATTAATGAAAAAACATATCAGACTCTTTAATTTGCTTCCTGCCCCTTGTTAAATTTTGAATGCATTCAGACCAATGCAAGTACTTGCCACCAGTTACCTAGTAAGATCACATTTCTGGGGCCTTGGCAAGAAATATAGTAAGCATGGATGAAACAAGAAATACACAAAATATTTTGATAGGAAAACCTCTAAAGAGAACAAATCACATGAAGAACTAAGACACAGATTGGAAGATAATGCTAAAATTGATAAAACAAAGTAGGTTGTGGGATCCAACTTCTGAAAATCTGGGTTTCTTAATAATGTATTTCTGAATGAATAACTGAAAGACACTGTGCACTCACACATTGAAAGGGGCTGTGAGATAGAAGCCATAGCTGTCAGAAGATGCATGGTGTCGCACATGAACCACCAGCCCAGGTGTACCAGCACGCAGTCGGGACAATAACCACATGAGGGTGAAATCCTGTGCTCCAGGAGGGAACATGAGCACGACATCACATTCCTGAAACACCACACCATAACAGCTTTGTGTCCTACTAATAGATACAGCATTTCAGCTAGTGCCCTTAAACTAAGTGAACAATACACTACCAAGAACCTGCCCTAAAACAAGGCATGATGAAGTGCCCATACCATAATCTAAATTTAACATCACACTATTAATATAGTTCATGATAACCTCTGCTGAATAATCATCTGTAAAGAGCAAAAAATAAGTAATCTCTGGATTCGTGGTGACTGCTAGAAAATTAGGATAAACCATTTTTTTAAAAAAATACTACAAATTAAAACAATGAAATATGGATGGAAAGATGGACCAGTAAGTGGGTAGGCATACAGGTAAATACACAGTAGACAGATAGGGGCATTACATAGATCATAATGTTCAGGATATGTAATGAGTTGATGTATGTACAATACATCAAATTTGGAAAAGACTTAAAATACAATGTGCCTTACGGCAAACATCCTAAGGAAAAGATACAGCTCTCCTCTTGAACAGATAACTGTTCATATGCATATTCATAATAGTTATACAAGCAAGACATTTATATGGGGTTAACAGCATTCAAAGAACAAATCACTGCAGTCCGTTAATAAATCTTAAGTGAAATAAACTCAACACAGTAAAAGGCGTAAGACAAACAAAATTCTTCCAATTTTACCTTAAGTTTGTCCGATCAACAAATGACCACGTATTATTTTTATTGAATGTACAGTGGCCACTGATCTGTGAGGATAAATTCTGTCTCATACTGACTCCACCATCATACAGTTGGTATATAAAGGTATAGACAAGGTTACATGTTCAATAAAAGATCTGTGATTGCAGGATAATGTTCTCCCATGTTAGGAGACAAGCACTGTGTGTCAAAGGTTAATTAATATTTCTTCCAAAACACCCAAGTTTTTACAAGAAAATACCTTCAGATCACCAGTCAAATTTTTAATGTACTGTTATTTATTTGTGGTGTAACGGTTGTCAGTAGCTCAGATTACAAAGTATTTACTTTTAGGATGATCAGAAAATAATGGGCTGGAAAGCAAAAAGATGCTTGGCCTAATTGGTGGTCCTAACCCAGCACTCTTCTGAAGAAAACCATTCTCTGGTGCGAGATTTGAAGCCGGAGCCTCCTTAGTACAAACCAACAATAAATATGCTGAAACTTGCACTGGAATGGACAATACCACTCTAACCTGCGTTGGTATTGTTTGTATCCATAGGCGTCGGGGTGTCATCAGATGCCCAGTACAGGGGATTTTCCGTCGCAATAAACGGGAAGCTGAAAATAAAAATATCTTATAACACCTATTTTACAGTTCTAGTCCAATATCCCAGTAACAATGTCAGCTGCCTCACCATTTTCAAAAGATTCTTTTGCAGTTGACAGGAGTTTACGATATCGTATTTTCGCATAGTCTTCTTCTTCATCTTTATCTGCAAGCTGTTTGTTTTGTTCACCTTCCCCAGTTTCCATTATATACTTCAAAAAAAATAAACCCTACACCATATAATACAGATCCCCAGCTCGGTCTCTTAACTCGAAAACACAATGAAATAATGGTAGCATATAATTAGTGGCTTTCTTAACATCTGTCAACGCATATTCATAGGCCTAATTTTGACGTACTACAGGCGTTGAAAAACGGACAGAATTCCTTTATAGCACACTGTTCAGCACTACGAAAACACAAAAATCGCTTCTTTCACGATTCCTGCGTTGTTAGAGTAAAATAATACGCCCACTTCAACATACGAAGATGAGACTTTATCGTTGGTATGCTCTGTGGTTAGAGCTGACTAAAGACCTGCGAATGCTGCCCTATGACGTCAAGTTGCCATAGTTACACAGGATGGTTTCAAAATGGCGTTTATAAACGTATCGATTTGCTTAGCGTTGGTACACATGATATCATCAGCCTATAGTCTTTCTGCAGAAATTGTGGAATATTCAGATCCGACGTACTGTTCGGACAACGAATATTTTGACATACAATTATTTAAATGCGTTTCTTGCAACGAATTAAAAAACCTGAAACCTACTGAAGATAGTAAGTTGTCACTTCATATTTATTTTAATTAATATTATAATAAAAATAATTATTAATTATAAAGGACTTTGTATTTCAGGGCTGTCATGTACATGTAACATGAGGAGTAAGATTGTGCAATGGACAGGGGGACAGTTTCCAGTCTGTGAACTGTGTCCTGATGATGAAGTACCAACGATTGATAAGCTTGAATGCCTGCCATGTTCAGCCAAGGCACTGAAAGGAAATGACACTGTAGTTTGTACAGCATGTGGAATGGGGGAGATACAAGGTAATATTAACCATCTGTTGTACTGAGTCAACTGATCACAATGACAAACACTAAAACGTGTTGTAACATTTTATTGTATTTGTTCCAGTGGAAAAATACTACAATGGAACTCTGATGAAAACACTGCATTGTCTGAATTGCACAGATGGGACAGTTCCTTCATCTGATCAGACATTCTGTGTGCCCTGTTTGTTACACTCTCGTAACTGTTCCTGCCCTGCTGTCACCCATGAGTTGTTAGAAGGGACTTGTGTTCCCCTTAATAGCCTCTCCAACTGGCCAGATGAGAGAAATAGTTATGTTATAGAGTATGAATCTGGTGATAAGATTGATTCATATTTCCTTAGGAGACATTTAAGATCATCAGTATATCTATGCAAGGTGTGGCTTAGTCCATTTGGTTATTGGTTTGAACTTCATTAAGATGCCCTCCCCCCATTATTCACAGATATCAAACAAAGCAAGTATTATAAACAAATAGTTAACTTGCATGATGACTGTAAGTATGTTTATTATCTCCATTTCAAGTTTAAAATCCAATGATTCATTAGTTACTGCCATGAAAGATGTAGATAGAAATATCTTGTGTGGCCTCCACATTTTTTACTTTGCAATCTACAAAACTGTGATTCTGAATCCATATATTTTTACTGAACACTTTGTCTGCATTTACTGAACTGCATGAATTTGGAACCTGGATTCTCACAGAAGATGTGAGATTCTGCATATTACTGAAAAAATAGCAACATATTGAAGGCAGAATGACAGATTTCACCTATAATGAATTCTGTGTATCTCTGGGCAAGACATAAAAAAGAACAGGTTGAAATATTGAGTTCTGACTGGATTCCAGAATATTGTGAAATATAAACTCATAGGAAGGAGGCACTTACTTAAAACATCCAAAACAGTCTGTCCTGTAATTCAAATGCTGAGTGACAGGGAACATGTTCCTTTCAGATGAGGAACCAATCTGCTTGTGAACTGGTGGCCAACATGTGTACTCTGGTGATGTTCCGTGATGACTATGTTGGGAGTCCCTGCAAGCTATTTGAGGGTGCCAAACACATCCCAAATTCTGACAATAGTGCTCTGCCATGGCTGTACTATGGGGAGGGAGATGCACAGGCTGTGTTGTTCAGGAAGAAGATAACAGCCAAGTACAGCATGGATCCCAGCTTCAAGGTAAGTCTTAAACTGAAAGAAAGGGAAACAAAGTGGTGAAGAGAATAATATTAATAATGGCAAACTTCAGGACCTGCTGTTATGGCTGTTATCTCAAATAGTATTGTGGGAAATAACATATGTGTACCAAAGCTTTATAAGGAAACATGATGTCTAAGGGAAATTATAACAAGCACTATCAATATGTATTACTCTGTCCACAGGACTAAAACCATTAATTTTATGGACATAAATCTTACAGATTTTTAGAATCATTTATAAGTGCAGTTGTAAGCGTGTGAAGCACTCTGTGTGTCTGTACACATGGGATAAAAAAACTTTGTAATGTGTAAACCTATTTTGATTAAGTACGATATTGGAGAGTTTTGTGATAAACTGTCAAGCCATTTCAATTTTTTACTTATATCTATTTCAAACACTAATTTTCCTAAGAGCATAAATACTTCTTGGAGATTATCTCAATGGACACTTCTGAAAATAAATTCCATGACTAGATTTTTAGTTTACTTGGATAAACATTCACAACAGTATTAATTCCCAGAACACCTGCAACACCAATACTTTCTTCAGTAGTTTAATGATGCAATCTTATCGCAGCTGGTCATTCTACACAAAATCAGATGCTTCAGCTGTTAGAGCAGATGACTGTAATAAGAAGAAAACAAGAGAAAATGTTTGAGTTTAGATTGCAGTGAAATGAGATTGCTTTGTTCTATTAATTTAGTGCTGTATTACAGTATGACTTTGACATATATTAAACATGTTATTTGTATTAGATTTTCTTTTGCTGCAAGTAATAACAGTGAACAGTGAAGTCTTAGTATTAATTATTATTCATTCAGTATATAGTTCTGACTTCTCACCAGTGTGAATAAGTATCAACACTGAATAGTTAGTTGTATGCAAATTTAAGTTTGATTATTTCCTAGTAGTCATAATCCTTCAGTGTAGTGCAGAACCTTACTTGCATGGATCATCTCACTGTGAACTAGCTTCCTTTCAGTTCCATATGTGTATGTGCATGTAATAACAAACAAGAAGATTATAAGGTCTTTAAGTGGAACAATGGCAGTGATCAGTGCTGCTTTAAAGACCAGGTTCCTCAGTTCTAAGCAAGGGATTTTGATTAATTTTGTTCATGAGGTTATGTATAACTATTAATCACCAAAATCTGTGAAGTTAGTAGCTATATTTATGCAGTTCTATATATGTGCATATTTAAATGTAGATGCTCTTAATGCACTGAGGATTACTCTTTTCTAGTATTAATTTGCTGATTATTTTTACCTTGACTCTATTTTCCAAAATAAGGTAGCTCTGGAATTACACAGTAACACTTCCCTTCCTCATATTACTTGCAGTTCTCTTCTTATAAAAATTTGAAGAACAAGGTTGTCAGAATGTAATTTATAATTTTGTCCACCTAATGCACCTGTTGTGAAAATGTCTAAAATCTTGTTTATATGTTAGCTACTATTAAAACATAAGACTAGGTAATTATAAATTATACCAAACCAGTTGTTCCACACAGGCTAGCAGGTTGAATTTGACTGTCATACGATTCACACCTGAGGGCCACATGAAGGGGATTTCTCCAGCTAGCGGGAGCTTCCTGCAGCTGTGTCCTGGCTCATGGACCTCCCTGGACAAGGGGTTACGTTTTGGTGCCCAGTACAAGTTCTCCTGCAAGATACCTGCACATCAGTTGGTTCAGATCAAGGACACTGAATTCCTAGACCTGTATCTGCAGTACTGGGAAGATGGGGAATCCCTGCTGCATGCTGTCCCAGTGCTGGTAGTGGACCTCAAAGTGGGGGGCAAGTCAGCAAACAAGGTACAAAATGCAGAATTATAAAATCTTAAGCTTAGGCCTACACCACACCACTTGCCATACTTAAATGTGTTCCTAACATTTTCACAGCATTGAGCTGATCAAACAAACCAGTCATCACATCACAAATACCAACAGTAAACTACTCGTGAAATGTCAATAGAAATCATTCATGATACTAAGTTTGATAAAACAGATATTATGGCCAGCATTCACAAATACCATCTACAGATAAACATCAACATAGAACATCATTACATACTCATCAATATATGGAGCACCATCACCTTCCATTACTCCAGAGTCACTCTTGGATTGGCCGGCTTCCAAGCCATGACAACAATCATTCACACAAATGTACAATGTGTATCAGCCCAGAGAATACTGTAGACACTAATCCTGAAAATAACCATAATATTATTAAGTGTTAATGCATTTACAGAGATCTGACAGGGCCCAATGGCAGCTGACCAGGAGGTTCTTTCTGATTGACAAAGTTGGAGGTGTGAAGTATATGTCAAAGAGTGAAGTGGTTAATGCTCCATCTATCATCAGATATGTGCAGTCATGCACATTGAGGTATGCTATATTAATAGTATTGTGTTCCAACAAAATGTGTTTGCATGTGTAAACTGCACAGACCTGCCTGAATATCAAGATGAACCTAACAGCAATAAATTTCTTGAGCTACTTGACAAGGATTCTGTACGTTGTACCTAGTTTGTTAATTATGATGTGACACACAGTTTCTTCATTCCAGTGAAAAATAAAGTCATTTTGTTATGACCTTACAGGGTGAAGGTGCAGGGACATGAGGAGGAGGGTCGGATTTATCCCCCACTCTTGGTACTCAAGTATGGAGAAGTGAAGCAGGAAGACATTGAAGCTAATGTTGAGGTGCCATTCACATTCAGTGTTGAGTATGAAATGGAAAACTCAATGTCACATGCTGTAGAGGTAGGTTGTACACTTCCTTCCTGGAAGGATCACATCAGGTACAAGGCACGCTGAAAGGTTTTATTTCATCCTTCTGTGTTTTAAGGACAGCCTGTAAGCCTGATTCAGCTTGAATCCAGTGTTGAAGAGGTCAAACAATATCTCTTCTTCCTCAAAGATGGTAATTCTAAAAGGTCTCTGGCTCTGTGTACAAGTATATGTGTAATTCTTTTGTCTCAAAGAGCAAATACAGTGTAAGTAGACTGTCTCTAATATTACCACTGTTCATCCCTCACAATATTCAAAACTGTGCGCCCTAAAGTATTTCATTAAATGTACTAAGGTGCTTCACTGTAAACACTGTTAAGAACAAAACCAGCCTTTTTGGCAAGAAGAGTTACAACAAATAACATGGGTATTGCTGCAGCCAGGAATTACTGGTGATAATGTTAACTTCACAATATTCCAGGTGTCAGTGGGAGTTCTCAGTGCTCTTGCAGTTGTCTGGTCAGGCATAGAGACATGGAGATATTCCCGCCGATCAGGTCGAGTTGGCATTGACCATGTCACTTTGGGTAAGCTGCTCATGTTTTCATGTGGAAACCTTGCAAATGTTTTCTTCTTTGTCGCGGCCTGTGCCAGTTTTCACACCTTCGCATTCTACAAGGGACAGAGTATAGTGCAGGTTCTACTGCCATCCCACCAACAAGAGCAAATTATCAGGAGCTATGTAATTTCAGCATTCTCTCTCAAGGTGAGGTTTTCTTGTACAGGTCACAAGTACCATTTTAAATCACTGATAGATGCATCACATTTTTTTGCCAAGGTTCCTAGTTGCAGCATGAAGTAATATTTGTGTTTGTTTCAGATAGTAGAAGTCATTCATCTGCTCTGGAGGCAGATTTCTATTGACATCTTCTTCATTGACTGGGAGCGACCACGAGCTCATGGCTCCTTGACACGGCCCTGCAGTCAGCCAACTACTAGCACAGTACCACAGCCTGTCAGCATGTGGAGGACATACTTTGTGGCCAATGAGTGGAATGAGATACAGACCACAAGGAAGATCAGTCCCCTGTTCCAGCTGATTTTCACTGTCTTTGTGCTCAAGGTGTGTAAAGGGACAGTAATGTGTAGTGCTGTTGGACATTGCTGTTGGTGATACACATGTGCCTGTATTCTCACCAGGTGATTGGTATGGAGCACTGGGCAGTGGCTGACCCAGAAGTGCATACCTCTCCTCCAGAGTACATGAAGGACAGTCCACCAAGCTTCATCTGTTGCTTTGCTGTGGGTGTAATGGTCTATGTTACAATATACTTCCTGCAGGTTAGTTAAGCACACTCATTTATGGTTCCATATGTAAGCCTCAGCTGTGACAAAGTTAGCACTTTATGAATGTGGAGAATACCATACTCCCACTTTGGATAAGAACTCTGCTGACAGTCTTCTTCATCGTCACCCCAGACGGGCACAAACCAGGAAGGTTAGAAGATAATATATAAGAAACATAAAATTTTTGTCAGTCTGTGTTACATTGGAACATAACGGATGAGGCCAAAACTGAGTTTAGGTACATTAACTCTTGAGCTGTATTACTGTTATATTACATCAGCATTCAACACTATATAGTCTCTCAGAACTCATTGATCTGTAGCTTTGAAACTTTAATTCTGTCACAAATCATATTCCTATGGGTCCACTTTGTGTCACATTGTACCTACTTACTAAGAATCTGAACAATTTGTGCCCTGAGATAGAAACAGGAGTAGATTTTTGCTTCATAAATTGAGACTGTTTTTAAGGTAGTGGCACAGTGCTTTCAAGGAATCAACTCTTCCAATACATGGATGAAACAAGAATGCACCACTCATGGTTATAAGAAGTGCTTAGGAAGGCAGAAAAAGACTAATGATTTAGAATTGATTACATGCAGTTGAAATACATCATTAAATAAACCACCAAGACAACATTTTAGAGCAAGTTGCACTGTTTTCATTGCAGTGGGTGTTCATGGTGCTGATATATGAGAGATACGTCAAGAACATGGTTCAAGAGTTTGTTGATATTTGCTCCATGGCCAATGTCAGTGTCTTCATCTTGGCTTTGGAAAATTATGGATTCTATATTCATGGCAGGTGAGCTCATCACATTTGGACACTGAGGAGCACAGAACTCAGTTAGCATCAGTGACACAATCCAACAGACACAACATCTGAAATGAAGCAACAGCAACCTTTTGAGATGATCATAAGTAAAGCTAATGGTTGCTGACCTTCAGAATTGGTGACATATTTTCAGATTTGAATAAGTGAACAGCATAGCAGGGGAACTAAGGAGCAGTCTTGTTGCAGATCAGCACATGGGTTTGCGGACACAGACATGCAGACAATATTGGGGCAACTACGAAGAGAAGAGGAGGATCTGTGTGGGCACCGGGGACTGCTGCCTGGCACTGATCAGCAGACCTTCCAGATGGCTGTACCACTTCAGCTGCGGTCATATTATCGAAAAGTGATGGCTCCAATCAGTTCGGTATGTGGGCTTGGTGTACAGCCTGCATGGGGGACACAAATTAATCAGAATTGTGGTGGAAAAATTCGTTCATGAAGGACGCTTGCAAGGCCAAAACAAAGATTACATAATATTAAACTGGCTGTTAAAAAAGAAAGGATTGGTCCCAGTCTTTCTTAACCTCTTCTTTGTGCAGATAACGCTGGCCACAAAAAGGTTGTCAATGGGTGGTGCTGGAGCCCTCAGGTCAAAGGTGTTGTCCGGGAACATGGACAGAAGCATTCAGATATACCACAACATGAACAAATTCCTTGCTGCATTTTTTGAACACGTAAGAATTTTGTTATTAGTGTTTGATCTAATTTATAACTTATGAAAGATTACACATTATTGTAAGAAATCCAAGCTCCTTCAATACCATCATATTTAGACACTTTCTGTGATATCAGTAAAGTCCATTGAGTGTTATACTTGCAGTAGAGGAATCATGTGTATTGACAAGCAGCCTGCCAAGTACAGCTCATTTCTACATTCTGTGATATCGCCTTCCTTTCCACCGTCAGACCCAGCTGGTTTGTTGTGATGTGCATCACAAAACACTTCATATCTTCCTGGATATCTTATTCTTTGTAGATATTACACAACTTTTTTGCAGATCCTATCAGAGTTCACTCCTTCAACATCTTCTTTCTAGTTATTTTGTGGTGGTGCTGAATAAAATATATTGATGAAATATTGCAATTCTGTTATTTTTAGGTATGATCACAACATAAAGCAGCAAAAATGTGCTGTCCCTCTATCTTTCTGCATGTAACATTTAAGAACTGCTGAACAGTTTTCATAAAATTAGATAGCGGGAAGTTTTACTAAAATTTGTCGATAATTCCAGTTTGATTAATTAAAATTAGACGTCACTTCACATGAAGGTTAGGGTAATGAATCATCCTGATGATGGAAGCAGTAAGTTCCTCTGAATTGTTAGTCAGTATCTACTAGATTATACAGTGCTACATCCCTGCTTGTGTGTAATCTGCAGTCTGTTAGTTGATACACATCTCATTGTCACTTCATTATAGTCCATGCTTCAGTACTCTACAATAATATTGATTTAAAAATTCTCCTGCAGCTTCAGAATATGGCAATTTGAAAATGTGATTTACAGTGCCTGATGTTGACCCATAGTCAAAAGTGGAAACATCTGCATTGTATTTTTATAAACAGTAAAAGTGAAAATTATGTAATTTTCTTTCAGGCACTGAAAGACTTGGATTATGATGTGAGAGAGAAGCTGTTTGTTGAATCTCTTCTTGACATTGAGTTTACGGAAATCTTCGACAAAGGAATCCTGTATGCAGGTTAGGCACCTCCCCACCTTGATATACCATATGTAGGGAATTTAAGATGATAGTGCACAGTGAGACTCTTTTCATGTTACAGACAGCGGGCATTCTTTTGACAATGTTCTCTTCTATGGAAACGAGTTTACTTTGGCAACATTTGACATCTTCCTGTTCTGCTTTGTGGAGATGCTTTTCCATGACTTCCTGCTAGCTGCCATTGTCACAGCATTCTTTGAAAAGGTTTGTATGATAAATAATGGTATGCTATTGCTTTAAAAAGAAAATGATGCTTAGCCACACAGGTTTCATATTTACACAACTGATTTTTATAGAGTACATCAAAGACTAAAACAAACCATCATACCTTATACAGCGTGAGTAATCAGCTTCCTATTTTGCCACTTCTTTTCCTGTACTCTTGTTTTGCTTCTCTCTGAAGGTGCTCGTCGTCATACGCAGAGTGGGTGGAAGGCATAACCTGGCCAAGAAGACCCTTATTGATGAGCGGTTTCTGGTGTGAGATGTATCATTGTTCTGTGACTTTAGTCATTTAGCAGAAGGATTCTTGGTGAAGAAAACTGTAGCAATTCCTGAAGTTCCTATAAAGAAATGGGTAAATCTGGGATAACAGAAAACTTCAGGAGGAAAATGATTCAAATTCAAAATCAGCTGTCCTGCCATCAGACTGACTAAAGGACTTCACATACACAGAGTTCCATTGTATGTGTCACATTTTAGTATCAAATGTTGCACAACCTGCAAATCCTGTAGAGTTTTTTAGGTTCTTTTCATGAAATAAATATACTACTTTGTATAGACTTACTTTTTTTTTGGGGGGGGGGGGA